CTTTCAATCAATCTGACTGGATGATCTGGTGAACTGGAAAGTGACCTGAGATGACATGATGTGAATTGGAGCTATAGAAATAAACTGAATAGAATTTAATCCAATTGAATGATGGAGCATGTTCTCTCTGCCCTTGTTCATGGAGCCTTGGAGGGTTCTTACTCACCCAGAAGCAGGTAGGGCTTGATGAGGCCGACCTGCAGGTCCCAGGAAGTATCAGGGACGTAGCCCAGCATCCTCTCAGGTGGGACAGGATCTTCCACCACAGCGATTGTTGAACCTTTCCAGGTCTCAATAATTCGCCGGCCGCTGAGGGACGTCACACGGGTGCATTGCTTCCGTAGACGTGAGCGCGAAAAGTTCTGGATCTCCTGAGTCAAAGACTGCATGACCAACCTTTATGGAACCTGAGAAATAAAGAGAGCGGTGAGGCATTTCAACTTGATAAAACAGATATTTGATGTTAAAGTTTTTCCAGGTTTAATGTCAAAGAGTTGATTCCAGAAAAATGCCAACCTTACCGATTAATAATTAAAAAAACAGACAACAAGCACAGAATCTCCGCCTGTCGTTTGAATCAGGAGCTTCAGCTAAGTCCTCAGGATGTTGGACCACCTGTTTGGAGAACAAGGACAGATAGAAGTTCTTGATTAGCTTCTAGAATCAGAAACCATGTTTATACTCAGAGGAAAAGTAGAGAATTTAAGGAGGTGTTCTGACTTAAAGACGAATGTGATTAAAAGAATGAAAACTGTGGCTGGAGTCATAGAGGAACCGGATAAATGCAAACATTTCAGCACATCATTCATGGACCAATTACTCCAGACAATAAGCTTTCAGAGTCTATTTACTGATCTATGTAGAGCGCTGGAATCGGCTGAGATGACTGAATAGGAAAGGTCCTAACAGGGCTGGAGCAAAAGCCCAGAATCTGAGACGCCTTAGAAAGAGGCTAATATTCAAAAAGGGTTCAGATGAGGAAGTTCAAGACCAACGCAGAACAACAAATGAGGTGTTTGAAACTAGCAGCGTGATCTAGAGAATATAGGACCCAGCATGGAGCTCCTCTGGGCTGCCCTAATCAGGTCCCCTTTGGGACATTAAGGTCTGCAGCCTGTTGCATGAGCAGCACTCAGTGGACGGGTCAGCATGTCCTCCAGCCTCATGCAGTGAAAGCCATAAACCTGAGCCTGGTTCCAGACTGAGAACAACAGCTGACTCCATGTTGTTCTCTAAATCTACCCTGGAGGAACTTTGCTCTCCTTGTTTCTCTGCTAAAACTCCTTTGATTCAAGTTTTTTGGGACATTTCTCAGATCAGAATTGAACTTCTCAGAAGTTCTTGTTTAATCTTTACATCGTTGTTTCATTGGAAGAAGGAAACCAGCAAAGCTGTTTGTCATTGCTTGGAAAAAGCATCATTTATTTTACCACAATGACATCACAATAATAAAACAATAACATGGTCTGACAACAGATTACAGCACAAAGAGCAGCAGCGTGAACGGGAATCCGCTCCAGGCGCTCCAGGCGCACCAGGCGCTCCAGGCCCTCCAGGCGCCCCAGGCGCTCCAGGCCCTCCAGGCGCCCCAGGCCCTCCAGGCCATCCAGGCGCTTCAGGCGCCCCCCCACATAGACGCATGGTCATCAGAACATCAGCCAACGTTTACATCAGAACTTCCCTGCAGAGGAACCTGCTATATGGAAAACATGACTCAGCAGTCTATCCTAGCACCATGACACAGGGATTTATCGATCGCAGGTCAGTCTTCACTGAGACAGATATTTACTTTAGAGCGATGAACTACGGTAATCTATTCTGCTTTTCTATCTCTAGGAACTGTTTTGTGAAATATTGTTTTTCAAATGTTGTGATGATTTGAGAAAACCTGGAAGATGATTATAGTTCAGCTGCTGATTGAGAGCAGGTGTGTTTTAAAGCATGCAGGATATTGCTGCTGCGCTGTAACGCCTGGAGCTAACGGTGAGCATTAGCATATCTGTGATGACCGTCTACCATTGAACCCATCATCTCACTGGATGCCTGTTCAAAGGCGATTATGCAGGTCTGGTTACAGGTGTGGGAAGTCCTCAGGTATAAACCACCCAGATCACTGGTTTTATGCTCAGTTAGATTCTTTTCTCTGTGGATTTTTCCTGGTGGGTCCTTCTGTGTGGGTCTGGTCTCCTTGATCGTTGCCTGTTTCAGGGGTTGCTCTGTTGTTTCTTATAAATAAAGGTAGATTCATAACTGATGGAGTCCAGGATAAGGCTAAAACTTCTATTACCACATTTCTACATTTTCAATACAATATAATTTCATTATCGGTATAAACAGGATTAAATAGTAAATATTGACCAGAAACCTGAACAATCTATGACTATTATTTAATCATGCAGATAAAACTCCTTCAATTCAACATTTTAGAAACTTTTGATTTAGAAAATAAAACTAAAAACCAGGATAACCAGTGATTAGAAAAAATGAAGCAAAGGTTGAAATATGGGAAATCTGACTGTTCCTAAATGATGTATTGATTTATCAGATCAAAGTCTGTGAATTTATGTAGTTTAAGTTCTAATTCCCTAAATCTGTTTAAATGTTCCTGTAATTTGGATCATGGTAAAAATCTGATTCTCTATGATGTGGATTTTATTAATGATCAAAGTCTGAGAGGAAACAGGCTCTGCCGTCTCTAAAGGAGTTTAGTTCCCAGAATGAAACAGATGTTTGGTTTAATCAGGTGGTTCCATCCATGAGAACATCCAGAGTTTCTTACCAGCTTCTTCAGACGTTCAGCTTCCGTTCTTCTTCAGGAGGCCAAGCTGTTCCTGTGAAAGCAGATAATCCAGATTAAACCAGAAAGGAGACCCTCTCCTGTCCTCATCGTCTTCTTCTCCTGCAGCTGTCCTCCTACCTGCTGCCTTCAGCTGGTCCCTATAGAAGCAGATCCTGCTGAATCCAGTTCTAGCGGCTTTAGGTGTGATGTGTTGAACTGGTCCAGCTCTGCTGGAGGTGGGCCGTCAGCAAGCAACATGAAACCTGCTGGACCTTCCTGCTGCTCTGCACCTAAAGCTCTAATGATGATGGAGGCAAAATGATGCATCAAAGTAGATAAAACCACAGTCAGCATCTGATTAATCAACTTTTAATATTATGATCAACAAAATGTTTGTTTTAAAGCAGTCAAAATGTTAATAATTCTAATCCTGTCTGCTTGAACTAAACTGGACGTAGGCTCAAAGGTTCCAGCAGGGGGCGCCAGATACCTGCATTCAGGGAGAAGGTTCCTGACAAACTGGAAAGAAGCAGAGTAGAAAAGTTCAGGCTAGTTTATAGATTAATTAATCTGAGCTAATCTATGGCTTAATCCTGATGGATTGGATGAAGTTTGAGGAACATTTTAGCTCCATGGTGACATCAAGCAGCACTCAGTGGATCTGCTGAGCCTCCATGATGGGAGTCATGCTGTGTTATTCTGGGAGGAGGAGTTGGGATCATCCCATGAACACTGAGCTCTGCAGGGTTCATCAGCCCCATGCATTATTGAAAGGATGAAGGTGAGCTGCCAGCAGGTTGACCTGCCTGCCTGCTCGCTCTCTATCTTTAGCACTTTATTGATGGCTTTAATATTAGAACCTAAAAGCTGCAAACCAATTAGGAGGCGTTCTCTTTGGAGGGAAACCCTTCTAGAAAACAGGCTCTCCAGGAAGAAGCCCCGCCCCTGCATTCATGTGTTCCAGCTGCAGAAGTCAGCAGATTTGGAAATCGATAAAGAATATCTGTGGCTGTGCTTTATTTAACCACCCATCATAAATCTGACAGTGCAGCAAGCAGTCGCCTTTCCTCAGCATGAAATGGGCCTGCAGCAGCAACTGCAGCAGCAACTGCAGCAGCAACAGCTGCAGCAACAGCAGCAGCAACAGCAGCAGCAACAGCTGCAGCAACAGCAGCAGCAGCAGCTGCAGCAACAGCAGCAGCAACTGCAGCAGCAACAGCAGGAGCAACAACAGCAGCAGCAGCAGCAGCAACAGCTGCAGCAACAGCAGCAGCAGCAACAGCAACAGCAGCAGCAACAGCAGGAGCAACAACAGCAGCAGCAGCAGCAGCAACAGCTGCAGCAACAGCAGCAGCAGCAGCTGCAGTAACTGCAGCAGCAACAGCAGCAGCAACAGCAGGAGCTGAGGCAGCAACAGCTGCAGACCGTAGAGAGGAGCATCAGTGAGATCATGCATTCAGAAAGAGAAGCAGGATCAATGAGACGACAGAGGAAAGGAGAGAAGAGGACACTGAACTTTAACCCCTCCCCTTTAGGAGCAGGGGGCTGCAGCACCCGGGGAGCAGTGTGGGGTTAAGGGTCTTGCTCAGGGACCCAGAGTGGCAGGCTGTGGGAGTGGGATTTGAACTCAGAACCTCTGGGACCCCAGAGCCCCCGCCTCCCCCTGGATGGGAGGAGAAACCAAACAACTGAGGGGAGAAAGGAAGCAGTTCCCAGTCTGTTTACTGGAACCAGTGATTTCATTCCTCTGATAAGATTCTCTGCCAACGAAGAAAAGATCTGACGTCAGAAAAACACCAAGAGAGATGAAACCATGAGAACGAGCAGAAGAGGGAACGGGGGGGGGAGACAAAGTGCTGATTCAGTCTCTGCTTGTTGATCCATGAGTCAGAAAACCCAGAGGGGCCGAGGGTGTGTGTGTGTGTTCTGGTATTTGATACTGTTTCTGGAAAAGTAGCAGGTTGTGAGGACCGACTGCTGCTGAGGGGCGCATGCCTGGACCCCACTAGGGGAGTCCCTGTTTTAGGGTCAGGGGTCAGATTTGGGACTAATGTGTGAATTAAGGGTCATGAATGAAGCGGTGCTGTTAGGGTGGGGGTCACCGACAGGCCGTAGAGGAAGGCCTCGCAAAGATAGAGAGACCAGTAATGTGTGTGTTGGCTGTAACTCAGCTCCTCCAACATCTGACAATCATTACCAACCACCAACACCCAGAGTGCTGCGTCACTCACATTTAATGGACCAATAACAGGCCTGTTAATGCGGGGTCAGAGGTCAACCACTCAGCTACAGGTCCGTACCAGTTTCCCATCGGCAGTAACTGGTTTAGTGCCTGATGCTGTAGAAGAACCGCTGATCAGGAACCACAGCAGGGCTCCGGTACCTTCTCAGTTCTGATTGTTTTGGACCTGATGTAACGCCGTCTGCTGCGCCGGTTTCACGGCCGCCATGTTTCCATAAGGGTCAGCAGGCCCAACCGGAGATTAGGACCAACGCTGCACAACAGAATATAAAACCTCATCTGTCTGACTTCCTCAGCACCTGCTCTAGCTCAGCTGGACCATCTGGAAACCATCAGAACGCCGTCCAGGGTTCTCCTAGAACCCAAAACGCCGCCCAGGGTTCTAGGAAAACGCCGCCCAGGGTTCTAGGAGAACCCTGGACGGCGTTCTGGGTTCTAGGAACGCCGTCGCCGAAAGTTCAGGGTTCTCCTAGAACCCTCTCAGGTTCTCATTGTTCTGGAGAAACAGGTTGGCCAGTCCGAGTCCTTATGGGTCCAGTTTGTAGCGAACCTGTAAGAACAGCAGCAGGTGTTTGT